TCTTTGCCCCACCTTTAGGAGAAGACAGGAAAAAGAATGCTTTTCCAAGTACTGCAGACTGGAGAAGCTTAGTAACTAAGTTAGTCTTTCCTCTAGAGACCTCTAAGCCTCTAGTATGAAGCAAAGTTACTGTTGTTTATGCAGACACAGATGGAAGACAGAGAGGGCTTAGGCAGACCACTCACAGAAAACAGGGAAAATATACACCATTTAGATTAGAAGATGAGTAGTTACAAAACCATGAAAACTAAAGCCTCCTAGACAGTAAACCAAAGACTAAAGTAAACTAGTTCTACAGTACCAATATATTAGAACACTTTCTAGTTTCCATCCTTACACAGTGTTAGCATTTCTGGCAAAAACGACCCTGCTGGACTGCCTCGAGGAAAAGGTCAGACACCATGAACCACTAAAATGGCTCAGAATCATCAATTCTGACTTCTCAGAAATTCAATTTAAGCTACACTTCCAGTCAGCAGATGTGTGGCTGTTTCCATGCTGCTCTCATTTATTTCAAAAAAAGCAAATTAAGCTCCAAATCTGACTTCCTATAGTGAGAACTAACCATGAAGGAAGCAGCTGACAAGCACCATGACAAAGAAGAGGAAATATAAATGTAGTAAGCTTCAACACAAGCAGCAAATCCAGAAAGAACTGAAACAGTAAACAAATTCAATTTTCAATTTGCTATTTTATTACACTGGGAGAAGACTGTGTTATAAACACACTCTCCCACACCTGGTCTCTTGAAGTACCAATGAAGTTACTTCACCTGCACCTACACAAAACCATCACAAAAATATTCATTCAAGTAGCTCCTAGCATTTAATAAACCAAAACGCTTTAGCATTAATTTTACACCTGCAAAAAGAAGGAGAAAATCTATTCTGGACATGAGCATAAAGTGCAAATATGCCCTGAAAATGTAAGTACTGGGGAGCAAAAGCAAGAAGGCAAAAAGATGATAAAAAAGAGCTGATGAAGCACAGCAAAAAATTCAGTGACCCTGCAAGTTTGTGAAGCCTTCAAAACATCAGGCTCTTTGCTTTGATGCCATGTAATGGCAATAAATCAAGAAAAGCCCAAGAACCCATTGCAGATTTATTGAGGGTTTCAGGGTGTATGGAAAAGTCAAATCAACTTGCAATGTTCTGCTTCTTGTATAATGATAAAGGCACAGCTTCCCTATGTGGCTCCAAGCACAGCACAAAATGGAAGTGCCTGCAGTCTCTGAGCAGCTCCAGACAACACAAAAGCCAGAACAATACTTGCGCCAAACATGGTTAGGATGACCATATTGCATTACAGTCATTGTAGTGATACTGGGCAAATGTTATGTTGCATGAGGCTACACAATAATTGGACAGTAATGAGTAAAAACATTAAATCCCTGTTTTACAACTGCTTCATCAGTAGCTATGAAACAATATCCTAATAAAGAGCATAAAACCAAAAAGAACTGAGATTAACAAGGCATGGTATGGCAGTTTAGAAGTAAAAGACACTTTAGTAATATAGAATTTAGAATTAAAGAACAACACTATCTAAAACAAAGACCAGAGAAGATTTACTATTCAATATTTAAAAAAGAAAAGACATAAAAAGCAGTTATTCCAATGGCCTATTTTTCATAGCAAATATGTCATATTGGTAAGCAAAACACAGTGCCTTGATGCTCACCAAAAAAAGCACTATAGCTGACTATAACACTATCAGTCCCTGAGCAGATAACCTTGTATGGACAATGCTAATCACCAAAAAGAAGAAAGAGACAGAAAGAAACATTAGAAAAGCTTTGGCAGATATTCAGATATGAATTTTGACTGTACAAGTAGGTATATTTATGGCAGAGTCCAAGAATGAGTAGACAAGCCATTAGAGAATGAAAGCAGTTCCTTCCAAGTTGTTTTTATCAGGCTCTGAATACATCACCTCATTTTTAGTAGGGTTCTGGTATCATGTGAAGTTAACATATAATTATTACAGAACTGTGATTGCATCGTTAGCAGAAGTTTAATTATATCATTGACATTAGTGATGCCATAACATCAAGCTAAATAATAGTTCATAACAAAACCTACAATTAGCACAATTTTTCCTCCCTTTTACACCAACCAAAAGTGTTCAGCTTGGAGAAGCCTAATAGTCCATACAGAAGTGAGCTAGGGCTGAACCTGAAAGGATTGCTGGCTGGTAATTTAGTAATATGGTAATTAAAGTCTTTTCATGATGTAATTACACATCAACTACAAAAGGACAGCTGCTATACAACACTGCCAGGGTACGTGGCATGAAATGATTAGATTTGAGAAGCTTTGGTGGATAAACTGAATACCACAGACATGAGTCTGAGGTATAGCTGGCACCACACAGTACATTATTATTCAAGTCTCACACTTAACGTTTCCTTAGTTTCATTGTGATAGTAACAGTTTGTTGCACATACCTTGGTCCTCTGACAGCAGAAGCTGTTCAAAACCCACCTTTAAAAGCTTATGCTGTTTTGAAGTTCCCTGAAATTATAAAACCTAACCTTCTCCTGGGGAGAGGCAGTATAACTGAGGTTCGCATGAACCCAAAATATTTATTTCCCACACAAAACCTTCTCTCAGAGATTTCTATCTGTGGGAAACTTGATTTATTTGCAGGCTTTTTCCAGTGGAGTAGCAGAGAGGGAAGGAGGAGAATGATGAGAGGGGAAAGGCACAAATGAGTAGGTGAACTCAAAGGAACTAAGGGTTTCGTCATCTAATTCCAACAGCAACAAGAGAAGTCCCCTGTTTGAGTGAAAAAACAAACCCTCCCTTCTCGAGAGCAGATAACCATTTCTTGAAGTAGTTTTCTTATTGTATTTCTCTCTGCCCTCCCTTTTATCTGAACAAACCACAAAGTTTACCACACAAGGCATGAGACAGCAAAAAGAAACATTTTTCCAACTAACACAAGTAAAATTTCTTGACTACATAACTGGGCTCTTCAAAATAAAGGAATGCACTGTATACCCTGGCTGTGGGCAGACAACCTCACAGTGACTTGTCTAGTCCTAAAATGTCCTTTTTGTCATGACAGCAACTCAGATGTTTTGCAACAGCTAGGTTTTTCCCTCTAAGTGGGAAAGATGGGATTTAGTGGGACAGAGACCCAGACCAACTGATCTTCAATTTAAAGCTTTAAAATTTCTTTTGAGCTAGGAAAGTCTAGGAATGGACTTACCTGAAAATGAAAGATTTTGGAATAATTCTCCTCAGCATAAGAAAGATTTTTCTGTGAGGTCCATTTGGGAAGCGCAAAACCAAACTATTTTGAATCTGGAGGGACTTTATTACCAAAAAGATGTTAGGAATGAGAATTTGAATCCTGGTTCAAACAACACCCAATCTTGCTGACTGTTTCCTTTTTGATTCCTGCTCTCCCTCTTTTTCTGAAGAGATGTTCTGAGTGGACTTAATGAACGAAAAATCTTCTTAAACTTCTTGAAGAATTAGTATGTTTAACTACTGTTACAGCAATACTCTGGCACCAGCTCCAGATCACCGCAAACAAGATTGGCTTGCCCTTGTGTATCAGAGGCTGCAGTGGAGCTGAGGCTGCTCTCAGGGAGCACAGAAGGAATCCTGAGGGAACTGGAAGCAGCCAGTTCCAGTCATTTAAGATCAAAGCTCTTGGCTACTCAGAATTAAGTCCTGCATGGCCAGTTTTACACAGCACATTTTTAAGAGACAGTAAAGCAAATTAGCCAACTCAAAGAAAGAGACTCAACTGTACCTCTAGAGTGATAGCACAAGAAAATTTGATCATTTCTAATTAAATGGCAGGAGAGATATAATGTAGTTCAGCTAGTAGTTCTGTTCACAGGATAAGTGATCATCTCAAACATGTTTGCAGCTACCATGTGAGGACTCACTTGACATTTGATACAAAAAGGAGATTCAATTATATCACTTGTCCCTAGAAACTGGGTGAGCAATTTGCAACACATACAGCAAATTTAGCATCTTAAAAACAATCACCAACATGAAAAGAACAAGAATTTTATTCACAGAGGATTTATCTGACTTCCTACACAGTGTAAAGCAGCAAGAGGCAATAAAACTATTAAGTTTAAACTACAGAACCCTTAACTTTTGAGTGTTGTCTCTGTAAATACATGGGTGTACACACTACAAACATGAACTGTGTGTGCACAAACCTTAAATGCAAACTCATAACCATACCAGTCTTCACCTAAAGACAACATGATTCAATGCCTTTGCAGATGTTTCAGATTATTCAGCTATTAATGAACAGAATACAAGAGCCATTCGTATCATGTGGGGACTCTTCTCCCTGCCGTATTTATGCAGTGCACTGCCAAAAAAACAGGTGAAGTCTGAGTCTTCAAGCACCCAACTTCAAAATAAAACAAAGCAATAGCTCCTGAGCAACAGCATTCAGTTCTGAGAAATGGACAAGTACATGAGCTAGAACAGGACAAAGCAAAAAACCTATACTGTGATAGCCTGTCTCCCTCTCCTCTTCCCCTAAGGCAAAAGTAGCAGCTATTTGCTTACTGATCACTTCCTTCAATTACATTAAAATCTGTAAGTCAAATGGCCTATCAAGACTAAGCCTGGCAATAGGAGCCACGGGACTTCCTACGGAACAAATGTAGCCCTACCTGCTGCTCTGGATGCAGTCACCTTGTTAGTGTTCAACACACAATCCTACTACACACCCAACACCTCTTCTGTTTCAAGGGCTTTTTAGCACCTTTCCATTTCTCTGCAAACATCAAACCTTCAGAAACTGCAACAGGACCAGAAATGCTGCCAGTTTCCTTGACTGCAACCACTGCTCAAGATACGCTATCCCTGGCACTTACATTCATTTCTGTGAGAAGTGCTAAGTGTTCAGCCAAGAAACAGAATCTTCTTGTGATGCTCTCTGCATTTAAGGAACTCGGTAACACCAGGCCTGGGAAGTTTGGGGTGAAGGATTAGATGTGGAGACAACACACTTACCTGCTATCACCAGCATTTGCCACATACAGCTTGCCCAACAAATACACCACCACTAGGGCTGTGCAGCCGCCAGAAATGTTATACACGGTCCTCTCTCGCTCTATTTGCAAATCCTGTGGGAAAAGAGAACAAGATTTATAAAGACAGCATTGCAATTAATGTTTGAGAAAATGAAGATTCCCCTAAAAACCAAAAATAAAATAGAGTCTATTAGACTGTATGTCCCACTGTCTGTCTTTCCTTGCAGCTATGGCCACATGAGCTGGGAGAAGAACAGAAAATTGAGGAGTACCTATTACTTATACAAAGATGTTTGGGAAAAATCAGGTCAGGAGACTTTAATACATCAGATACTAAGAAATAAATAGCAACTCTCAGGGATACAAGAGAATTTGCTATGGCAAAAGCACAATGAAGGCAAAGATAAATGAAGCTTAACAACAGATACCTGGTGGTATAATTGGAGAGTGCTTTACACAGACAGCAGATAATTAATGAGACCCAGCTACAACATGAATAACTACCTACTTCCCTAGAGGAATGCTAGGATTATGGGGTATACACCTTAAGAACAACAGCAAGATGCACTTGTGCTACAAGGCTACCCTTCAGAAACACAGGGAATGACTGGATGCTAAGCTGATTCTGAGTGCAAGAAATATCATATACTAAAAAGAACAGAAGTGGAGAATACAAATTATCACCAACAGTTAATAAAGTCCTAGAAAGGTAAAAGAACACATAAATACACACACACTCACATACACATATATATATATATATACATACAATGCCCCAAGAAGGCTTGTGGAACATAAAGCAAGTGAGTAAAACAAGCTATTTTCATCCATACATTTTAAACAAACACTGAAGTGTATGCTAATGAATTAATTCTTCTGTCTGTAGTTTAGCTTCAGGTAATAACATGCTACAAATTATTCTTCTCTCCTGTGTCCAGAACCAAATCCCACTTCATACTGGTCTGTCCTTATAATATTGGATTCAAACAGGGAGCATCATTTAACATCATTATTGCAAGTATTGGCAGATCTTTTCCAGCAAAACCCTGCCTACTTACATGTGGTTTTTATTATGAATATATGATTTCCTCTGTTTGTGTGCATATACACACCTCTATACTTCAGCCACTTTCATATCTGCGCTGGGCAACAAACAAGCTATTCATGCTTTGAGGTATGGAATTTGGAGCTTTATTTTAGAGCTAAATTTATCTGAAGAAAAACACTACAAAATAAATACAAACCATGACAGCTGCAGTTTGATTGAAAATCCACAGAGGTGGAAGTCACTGTCCCATGCTTTATCTCCTACAAATTTCAGGGGAGGGAGAGGACCTGAGACAGCAGCACAGATGCTCAGCAGCACTCTGGCACTGTCCTGAGCCAGTGGGCAGAGATGCCTGTCACAAATAAGTCACTGACTCCTCGCTGGTCAATGCATGTACATCCCATTTGTGCCATGGATACAGTGCTGAGGTATTGTCCCAGCAGGCCATCCTGAGCTCTGTAGGCAAACTGCATGTGGCTGCCACAGGGACACAGGTTCTACTGCACTCACCAACTTTTTTTGAGGGGGGCAGGGGGTGGAGACTGGGAGAAAAACACCTCCAAGCTAGAAATCATATCTTGCAGAACTTCTGGTCACAGACACAGGCCTTTTATAAGTGCCTCTTTACCTAATCTTGCCATAGAGAAGCTGATTCTCCTTCTCATGGTTTTGACATATTTCTTAATTAAGCTTAAGAGCTCAAAGGAAGCAGACATTTCTAACCATCAAAATAACTTATATTTACAAATGCTACGGATTTTCAAGCACTGCCAGGAATTTTAAGAAACCCTCATTTCCACAGTTCAGAATCTCCTCCAAGACCTTCAAACAGTGTGCAGTTCCTCACCTGTTTTCAGCTTTGTCATACATATATTTTCCAAGTGCTGGAATTCCTGAATTAAAATTTATTTCTTTCAATAAGCAGAATTCAGAAGCATCTATTATAAGAAAGAAGATGGAAAATCCTTAGGGCCTTTTTTTCAGAATTTTCTGGACTTAAACTATATCAGTGTACTGGATTTTCTCAAATCATTGCTGTTGTTGGGCTCTCCCATCTAGAACTTCAATTTACTACCATGACTTGTCAGAGTACCTGGAGTGCCATGTATGATTTGCTATTACATACGCTACTTGACATTTTCTTTTTCAGCAGCAAGGAAAGAGGGCAAGGCTTTCTGACAGCTCAACAAGATTTGAGGGGGGAAAAATAAAGCAAAATAAAATTAAGCTCACCAATGCCACCAACTCATTCTGATGTAAAGACATTGGCTTCTAATGAAATACTTTATAACAGTGGTGCTGGGAAAGTAATACAAACATGGGCAGAAGCCACAAAATGCCTCTAAATATGAGAGTAAAGGGGCTCATTCTGGACAAAGTATATACAAAGCTTTCCTCTGCTTTCAGAGCAAGTTTTTTGGTGGTTTGTTTTCTGTTTGTTTGGGGTTTTTTCCCTGTTCGGTTTTTGGTTGGTTTTTTTGGGGGGGTGGGNCGCTCCCGCCCGCCGCCGCCTCCGCGGAGCCCCCGTGAGGCACGGCCGCCTACAGGAACCAGGTGGGTTTGGAACGGCTGCAGAGAGGGAGACCCCACGACCTCCCTGGGCAGCCTGTTCCAGTGCTCTGCCACCCTCAGCGTGAAGTTCTTCCTCAGGTTGAGATGAAACTTACAGCGGTTTCGTTTATGGTCGTTGCTCCTCATCCTGTTGCTGGGCAGCACTGAAAAGAGTCTGGCAGCATCCTCTTGACACCCGCCTTTCAGATAATTATGTCCATTAATGAGATCCCCTCTCAGTCTTCTCCAGACTAAACAGCCCAGCTGCCTCAATCTCTCCTCGCAAGAGAGATGCCTCCAGTCCCTCAATCATCTTTGTTGCTCTGTGCCGGACGCTCTCCAGTAGCTCCTTCTCGTTCCTGTACTGAGGAGCCCAGAACTGGACACAGCACTTGAGCTGTGGCTTCACCAGGGCCGAGCAGAGAGGGAGGATCACCTCTCTCAACCTGCTGGCCACACTCTTCCCACACCCTTCTCATCTAAATTTATCCTCAGAGCAGCAGCCTTTCCACCAGGATCTCAACCTCGCTATGACAGAAAGCAACTTTACACACATAGTATTAGGTATTTGATTTAAAAAAAAGTTTCAGAAGGCATAAACATAAAATTAACTCCTTAGCATAATTTACATCAAATGCCTGTAATTCTGTTTAAACTCTCAAGTCTACTGTTATATAATGAGGGAAACTTTTAAAAAAGCAAACTTGTACAACTCACACCATTCTCTCAAGACTGTTCAATTAATTAAAATGGCATCAGTATAGAAAAAACACCTGTCTAGATTCCATTTAAGTTAAAAAAACTCAATAAATAAGAAATCATGATACAATGAATGCAAATATAAACCTCCCAATAAATCATACAGACTACTTCTGTGCCATTTTTTCCCCATCTAAAATTAAATGGGCTTCAGAGTAGAATAGGTGCTCTCTCCCCTTAACCTTTCTTGCAAATACGTACATCACACATGTACACAGGGTTAAATACAGGGGAAGGACTATAATTTGATGTTTCTATCCAATATTGAAATGCACTTGGAAGCATTCCTCCTGGCTCCTTTGAACTGAATCTCTAAATGTACATCTTAAAGCTCAACAGATGAAAATTGGAGGATTTGATTTACAACACCTTCAGAACCTAAGCTTGTTTATTTCCTTTTAACTGGAACAATTGTGATACTGACAATTACTGACATTCACTGGTTTTTAGACAGGGCATTAAATTATCTGGAAACACAGCACAAACTTGCTAATCCCAGTTTCAACAAAGAAAACATCATTTAGATGTACTTCAAAATGGGGACAATTTAATTGCTAAATGTCTAAGTTAGGCAATGACAATTTGTGTTGGCTTTCCACAGTGTTTTACTCCAGGTAGCTGCATATAGCTGGACAAGACAAAAACTGTCCAAAAACCCACATCAAATAAAGGAAAAATAATTTTTAAAAGCCTTTTGAAAGCCATGGATTGCATTGTATTTGAGACTTGAGGCAAAAACAAGGAGACATTAACTAAAATTCAAAAGCAAGTTGGGGGAAAATATAATGGTATACTAGATGCTCCCAGGAAAAGGGGACAAAGCCATCATTAGATAAACCTATCAGGTCAGACTCTTTAAAAAAAAAGTATCTTTATCTATTCATTATTTTCACTCAGTTCACAAGAATCCTTTGCAGCAATTGGTATTTCAGGAAAAACCACCAAGAAGCCTGCCAACGTGTCCAGGAAACCTGAGCTTTCACCAAGTGCCAGGTAAACTGATCCACTCTGCTGGCACAAAACATCTCGACTGTGCTGACCTAGCCCAACAATACCCATGACGTTCCAGTACAAACAAGGACTGATTAAACAATGTGCTGTGGAAGAGGCCCAAAGTCTCCATGCAAAGACTAAATGGAGTATAAGCTAGAAGGAAGTTAAATAGAGGCAGCAGGAAGATCAAGCACTGCAAGCTCAGATGAGACACAGAAATGTTGATTTTATGAATTGCTCCCTTACACAGATGAAAGAAAACACTCTTTAGCCTAAACCAAGTATAAGTGCAAAATTCCCTTCAGAGCTCAAAGTAGAAACAGTTTAATTATCTACTTTATTTATGCTGACCATTTTTTAAGCTTTCCTGTAGAACTTAATTCTGAAAGTACATTGCATTGTGGTAGTCGTTTGTTTATCAAAGACACTTATGACCTTCAGCCCTCTAATAAAAAAGCAAGTGGGAATTAAGATACTGGATCTGTAGTATATGAACAAAGATGCAGGGAGGAAGATAATTAGTTCCGTTTAGAAACAGATCTCTGTTTAGAAACAGAGAGAACAGATTATTATGAATTATACAAGGAATACCTGAACACCATAACTGTTGTGAGTTATCCAGCTTTTCTGCATTTCTCATCCCCTACCCACAAAAGCCCTTACAACCAGATCCCTGAACATAAGCTGAGATGGTCTTCTGTGTGAACACCTAGTGAACTGTGAAATCAAAATAAAGCAGTGCAATAATAACAGCCCTATTCACTCAGACACATTCAGGAAGGCAGCAATGGGTAACACACATGCAGCTCTCCTAAGAGAGATAGAGTACTTGAAACAGCCCTTCCATACCGTTACTTTCACTGCCCAGTGCCACAAAACTCCACTTCTCATCTCTCCTGCTCTTGGAGACAGTTTCAACAGGAGAGAATCGTGTCACACTCTTAGAGCCTGGCACACTTCTGGCCTCAAAATTACACCACCTGAAGCACAAAATTTGCGTTCCTCTTAGGCATGCTCTGAACCCACTAGGGCACAGTGCATGGGCCTAGTCATCTTCTCTCTCTTTTCTCTACGAAGAAGGAAGCAATCTTGTCCTCCCTTTCTGAAAAGGTGCACTAAACTAACTGATTTTAATGCATCCTCCTCTTTCTTTTCATTTAGCAGAAACTGAGCCCACTACCCACAGTGTATAAATCTGCCTGGGCAACCCCCACTGAAGTATGCCTAAGCTACGGCTGTGAATGCTGTTCCTGGACCTACCCACCTGCAAGTCCAAACCCAGTCAGTGGGTCTGCTTGCCTGCACTTCCTTGGGAAGAAAGAACAATCCAGCAAAAGATAATTGTTATGCAGAACTCAAAGTGAAATACTATTTGTAACAACAACTGTAGTCACAAATTAAATGCAGGTACTGGACAAGATTCACATATATCAGGAAAAACGATGATCAGATATTTATTTTCAGACAACAAATAAAACCACTGGGAAACACTGAAATGCTCAAAGTCCTTTTCAAGTAAGAGGCTTTTCTTGAAACTACAGAAACAAAATTTTAAAAAAAATTAAAAATTTAATAGTATCAGACCTCCCAATACCTGATCCACATGTACTTGCTGGCAGGCCAAATCTTTGCTCTGCCTGACAAGACTGACTTTCAGTAATGTAGAGAAGTGAAGGGGGAAGTTGTGGAGGAGGAACTACATCCACTACAGAAGAGGAAAAAACCAGCTTCCATAGAGAAACAGATGGATATTCTGTTCCCATAGGGTCATGACTTCCTGACAGTTGTTCAGGCTGTATAGAAATCAAGTGGGTGGTTGGAATGAACTTCAAGCCCCACTCACCCACAAAATCTGCCTCAGAGAAGAGCTGCAGACACTCTACAGTCAGCTGCTCCAACACCTGTGTGAGCTAGGGGTCACTGGACCTAGCAGCCTTTGCTGCTGCTCTGGTATGGCAACAAGACTTTATAAAGTGTATGCCCATATACTCAGCCTGGTAACAACTTCCAGTGCTGAAACCTGCACTGTAAGGCAGGTATAAAATACTGATCTTTATCTTATAAAAGGAGGGGGAGAAGAAAATTAAAAAATAGAGCATAATACATCAAAAATTCACATAACTCATTACCATTGCCACAGTGCTACTTGGGAGTTAAGATGCAGCTCCTGCCTCACAGGGATGTACATGGTAAGGTGTTGAGGCTCTTAAACAGTTCTGTTCACACTCAGATGGTGTTAAAGCAATGAAAAGGAAAAAAAAAAAAAACCAAAAAAAAACCTCTAAATCATCATCATCTCCAGGTCTTGTGACTCAATGTAAACAACAAGGACTTCAGAGCCCTGAGACATACATACCATTTCCTTGAATGCACTTTCTATGGCCCCAATAACCAGGCACTCATGTGGGATCTTCTTCTCAGTGAAGAAGCGTGTTGGAGGCGTGCTGGGCGAGCCCGGGGCTCCCACACCACCACGCAGGGAGGCCGCCCGTGTCAGTGTCCTGCTGTTGGTGGATGGGTTGTCAGGCTCCTCTCCCAGGCAGGTGGGTGGGAGGACAGCTGTGTTCCTCAGGATGTCCACAATCTCCTGCAGCTGCTCCAGGATATGGTGCTGCAGCAGTTTGGAAGCCACCACAGCTGCCCCTGACCCAGCATGTCCATCAAACAAGGACCAGTAGTACAGGTTGATCCCATCTGTGTCCTGGAGAAGCAAGAGGGGGAGAAAGGGAAGGCAAAGAGATGGTCACTGTTGCACAGTTGTGAGCGCGGTGACTAGTAGCACAGAGGCAGAAGGTGAAACACAGAAAACTTTCCCAGAGGTACCATTCTTTCTGAAATGCAGAAATACCCACAGTGTCAGTACAACTCTGGCTGAAAGAAGAGATGCTTATTTTTACCATGCATCCCTACCATGTTTTATCTTTTCCTTAACCTCTTAAAAAAAAAAAAAAAGAAAGGAATAAGAAAGGCTGAACTTACAATCTTTCTTACCTTACAGCCATCACAGTTTATAGAAGAACAGCATTTGAATACATAATGAAAGATCAAAATTCTACACAAAACAGCACCTCATACTTAACAGACCTTCTTTTTTTACTAGGCATGAGACAAAGGACCTCAGTTTGACATCCAGCAACAAATGTGAGCTCCACTTCCACAATTGGTAGATAAGGTCCATCCATGCTGGCAGACAGGACAACTCAGGCTTTCCCTGCCTGTGCCAGCCCAAGAAACAGCACCAGCACAGAGATCCTCGAGGATGACAGCTGCACTTCATCTGATCTAGCCTCGGTTCACTGCCTGGTTCTTCACAATCCCCTAAAAAGTTTCCTGTATAGTACTGGAAATGGTGCAATACCCTATTGCTTAGACAGGGTATTAGCCAAGGGCTGGAGGCATAGTACCTCTGGGCACCACAAGCTCCAACATGCCTGGAAAATACCAAGGAGCCATACTCTTACTAACCTCAACATTTTCACCAAATGAATTTGATTCATTTAGCAATCCTCAAGCAACCATTTAAGGCTTGATGATACCCATCTTTGCATGACAGCATATTTGGCAGCAGCATGGGGAAAGAGTCTTTCCTGTCTTTCCTTTCCCCTCCATTTCTTTTAATCCTGCACCTTTTCCCAGCTATGCAGAAACAGCTGCTAGTGTGGCTGCCTTGCAAGTTGGACGTGGGTGGACTAATACAGATTTAGAAAGAAACAACTTTGCAAGGGACAGGAATGAAGCTATACTGTTGTAAAATACCTCATAATAAGAAAGAATAACCTAGATCTCACTGCAATCAAAGAACCTCAAAATTACATGTGTATGTTGCACTGTGGTCTAATTTAGGATGACAGATGTGATTCGTTTTGTTCACCTGAACACTGCTCTCACACTACAGATCAGCATAAAGTCTAGGCACCACCTGTATCCCAGATCCTCAAAGCACTGCCTATTTCAAATTTATGGACAGGGCTGTGAACTGCAGCTCCTTTTACTTTCTGCTGTTTCAGCTGCTCCACTACGGTGCCATGATAATAAAAATCACATAAAAGTTGAGGTTTTTATTTTTTTTTGCATACAGCATTGCTGATGTGGTAAAGTTCAAATATATTCTTTACCAAAGCATCAACAGCATAGTCATCTACACAGCAGAGAGCTCCTCCAAGAGGAACTCATTAGTCCCTCATGCACTCTTCATTAATGAAACGCTGTGATAAGGAGGTATTGTCCTAAAGTACTGTTTCCTTACTACAGTAAAGTAAGCAGGATATATCCTAGAATGGTGAAAACCCAACATGTGTCCACATTTCTGTACACAGTTCCTTAGCCAGGAACTACCCCACTCTCACCCTGCACTTACCCAGCCTGGTGAATTCCTCAAAAAGCCTCTTGTGAAACTTCCCACCTGGAGGCAGGACTGGCAGTTGTACTACCTTGCTCTGGGCCCAGAATCCCTCCAAGTTGACACAACAGTTGGCTGTAAAAATCTGTGTAAGTAATTTTTAACGGCTAACAGGATTAGCAACTTAAAAACTTGCTTGTAAAAATAGATGGCTATTCATGTAAAGTATTTTGCCAACAGAAACAAGTTTTCCAAAGTGAAAGTGTTTCAGCTGAGAACTGAAACTATTTATTCAAAATTACAACACTTTGAGTCCTGGGATTTGTATATCAAACCACTTCTGCTCCCATTCTTCTCTTAAGAGTTTGTCTCTATGGCCAAAATCCATGTTATGATGTACCATGGATAGTGCTTCCACAGTTTTTGTCCTCATGTACTTTAAAGATGCTACTTCTTTGGAAATGTGCTCTCTTTGGGGGGAAAAATCCCCAAGGCATTTCAACTCTGACTGAGACTGAAATATTTTACTATTGAAAAGGAAGAAGACGTTTTGTCATTGTTCTCGCCTTGCCCCCAAACTGGAACAGAAACTTATAACTGAACAAGTTTAATCCACACTCCATTTTCATGAGTTCGCCAAAGAAAATCCCCCAGCAAAGTCTGTGTTGCAGCTTTTCTAAAGATGAAAGAGAACAGTTATTTACACAATTTACTCTGTTGTGATCTCAATGCTGGATATGTCCTACACTGATCAAGCCTCAGGTGAGTTTGGGAGTTAAATAAAGACAAGACTGGGGTGCTTTAAAACAGATGAAAATAGCCCCAAACCAAAAGGTAAATTGAAATGTTTCCACTTATTTCCTCTAAGCCAATGGGCAGCACAAATTTGGACAGACAACTTCACATGGACCTGAGTTGTATTCTCACACACTCACTGACACATGTCACCATGGCATGGCCACATCAAGAGTGGTGGTCCACTGATTTTGTCCTTTTTGGAGTAGTAATTCTTGATCAAAGAGGATGTTGCTTCCAGTTCAGCTAAGTTCAGACATCTACACTGCACACCTCCAAGATAGTTCTCTAAATTGCCCTTATGTTGGGCAGACAGAAAACCCCCTGTATTTCCAAACTACGCACATTTCATTCCAAAGTAGATTTATTTCTCCCTAGCAACAGCAGAAGCACTCTGGATAACTGTGAAGTCTGTATTCTAAGCACTCAGAGGAAATGACTACCATAATGCTGCTCTCATACAGACATTCTGTGTGAGATGCTCTAGGGCCTTAAGTTCAGTTGGGATCTGCAGGCATTACTGTAACCTAAATATTAGTCTTGAAAAACTTCTGTGTATTCCTACAAAGCTCCATTTAGTTTTGAACTAGCAAAGAGGAAAACAACAGATAACCTATTAGCTGTCTAAAAAAAGGAAGAAAAACAAACTATTTTGCCCCACCCAGAGAATAAAAACAGATCCTATTTAAAAAAAAAATTAATTCCCCAAAACCATACCAATTCAATAACAATTAAAAATATGATGCAATTAAAGCAGTGACTCAGTGAACAAACAAGGGCCAACAGTTAGGGCACACAGATGAGGCAAAAGGCACAGAAAAGTGCATGCTTTTCCTCACACAGCTGAGATGACCTCTGCAGCCGCCAAGTGATTACTTGTTTTCATGTGTCCATGCATTGATGTTTGTGCTCTTTTACATTTGGGAGCTTGAACTTCTTCCCAAAAAGAACTGACATTCTGCAAACTCAGAGAACAGGACATATATTTTTACTAGCACTGGCAGTATTCTGCCAAAAGTAGTCTTTCAAACACCAGTCTTCATTTCTTCTTTTATCTAGACAGAATCCTCAAATAGGAGTGTGGTCAGTCACCACAATGGTGATTATTTTAGATTTTCATTCAAAAGATTCTGGCCTAACAACAGGCTGAATAACTAGCAGAAAAATGAAGAGGAAAGAAACCCTTCACTGCACTGACCTTACAATTAATTTCCAGAGGGTACTAGGAAATTTAATAAGCTTCAGGATCCTCAACTGCTGATGTAGCTTTCAGGAAGGTTCAGGATTCTCCTGGGCTTTGCAATTGTAAAATATAATTAAGACATGCAAAGTTTTGGGTCAAGCAACAGACAAGAAATCATGAGAGAAATTGCATATATATACATAATTTGAGCTCAATTATATGAAGGAAAAAAAAAGGGAAAAACCTTAGCAATAGCTAGTGATCAATCTGGGACATGCTTTTGAGGTAAGCTAGGCAGCTGTCTTACACTGCAAACCTTCAGATGGTTGTTATGCAGCTAATTCCAAACAGGCAAATAAATAATGTTGCCACTAAAGATTTATTCTGGGAACTACAACCTACCCTGACTATTATTATTCCAGATATGAACTACAGTCACAAAACACTTAAGAGTGCAACTTGAGTTCTCATTAAATATGAGCTGGACCAGCAATTGCTACCCCAATCCTTAGAGAAAAGCCTCCTCATGTTACGAGTATGTTCAGCTGCCTGTGGTAGGCTACCAGTCTTGTGCCACACACACCATCCTAGATTTGTGGCAAACTGCAGAATTAGTAATTATGTATCCTCACATTACAATGACAATTAATAATGCATTACATTAAGTTCTGCAGCCTGATTATCACTATGACAATATCCTGGCATAGGATTTCCATTTTGCTTGCTGATGGTTTTCAGCATTCATCATGAAGGTACTCTGTAGCTAAAGGCATTTAGAAATAGTACAAATGAAAAAGATGTGCAATTTAACATGAATGGTCTTGAATGGGGACAGACAGGAGATATGATTAATCAAGCAGCAATGGAGTGGGATGGGGGAAAAGAGGACAGAATTAACTTAGGGTTGATTTTAGAGAGTTTTTCCTTTCACTGCTCTTCTCATTTTATTACCCACCCTTTCAAGAAGAAAACCGTGTTTATGCTATTTAATAGACTTCCCAGGATTTTTTGTGTGTATTGGGGTTAAAAAAAATGTTCACTTCTCCATTTCTGCATTTCTGGCCTACCACCTCTTCCTTTCCACCCCTGGAAGTCCATGTGGAGAGTCAGGACCATGATAATGGCATTCAACTTGTGTGGACAACACATGGATCTCCAACTCCCTTCTGCTGCTTTTTCAAAGCACAGGGCTGGATTGATGGGGTTAGCATTAACCAACAATCACACAAGTCTCAGATGTAGCTGATGTTTCACAAACTTCCCAAAAAGCAGGAGAAAAGATGGCATATGCCATTCTCAAAGAGTCAGTGGAAAAAAAAAATCTGAGGATGATGAAAAGGATTCTGTTATAGAAAGTTTAAATTTCAGTGCCTATTTCCCTGGTGCTCCACACTGTAAAAAAATTCTTTCAATGAACTTCTTGCCTCATTGCTTTTTCCTTCTGCAAGGTGCTTAATGACAGACAATTTCAGGTGTGTTACAGTGGGATTTCCCTATGAGTTATTTACACTATTTAACCTCTAGCTTTCTTACTAAATATTTCATGGGATGACATTCTATCATTCACTGTAATGTCTAAAGCCAGTATTTCTAAATTTTTTCATAGAAATTAAGTTGCACCCTCATCACATTTACCATGAAACTCATATACTTCTTAAAAAATATCTGCAAATAGTGCTGTCTGAGGGGTATTATACCTCACAGTACAAAAATACAAAAACATGACACAACATAAAAATGTGCTTTTTTCCTCCCTCTTTTTAGAGCTATTCAACCAACAAAAGATGTAGCAAGGAAAAAAATCTTACTAACTGCTAGTGTAAGACTGCCCTCTAGTAGAAAACTTTCTCCAGGAATATGCTGCCTGTTTTGGGAAAATATATTACAGAATTAAATACACAAGCTGGGCTCTAATATAGGTTTTCCACAACTAAATAATAGGTGTGACAGCACTTGTTCTAGTGCCATGCAGAAAAATAAATAAATCTGTAGATAAGAACAGAACATATAAAGAACAAAGTAACAAGTAACTAGAAAACAGTATACTCTATTATATGGATCAGCTGGCTCCTGACTTTCCATCTTACGCTCCTTTTTGGTCAAAATATATCAGAAATACAATCAAGAACAGAAGATTTGAACTAAGTGTTTCTCTCAAGAAACTTGAAAGGGAGTGGCTGTTTCTTCCAAAAACAAAATGAAAGACAGAGAATTAAACTAGGAAATACACTAGCAAAGAGAGAAAGAAAAATCAGAACATTCCATGAGATTCTTCTCAAACTCTGTAAGTAGATATTTACTGAGGAGATATTTACTTACAATCATGAAATATCAAATGGATAAAAAGAGCAGCTTTTAAAAACATGCAGTTTATTGACCCTACCATTACATTACTGCAACAGTACAACTTTAACAATGGATAACATCAAGGTTAGTTAAGATGCCTTTCCAATAACAGAATTATTTTAGATCCCTATCTTTTTAATGCAATCTAATCTTATTGACTATTTAATGTTTGGAAAAAAGTTCCTTCTGAAGAAGGTGATGAACCATGGCTTTTGCTCCTGAGAAGCTTTTGATACTGGAAGTTAATCAGGCTTTGTGGAACAATGCTACAAAGATTTTTATGTCACATGCAAGCCCCCAAAATATGCAGAAACAAATTCAGGACAGTTACATTTGCCCATATCCGAGATGCAGAGGCCCCTGACCACGTATCTCACACAACAGGTCTGGAACTTTAATGTGGTATGAGACCAAATCTCTTATCTCTTCACTTCAAATCTCATGTCTCTTTTCTTCGCACACATCTCGTCAAGATGTGTGCACCCAGGCTGGTGTGTGCACAGGTGTCTTTGCAGTGTGCCTGTGTGCATGGCACAGTGACACCCTTAGTGTCAAACAAACCCATTACCTGGACCAATGAGACTGGCAATTGTCTTGTTGCATTTTCTACACACAAACAAGCACTGTGGCAAAATGTTTGCTTCATGAAACATAATTAATGCATACAAAAGTTAAATACACTCCTGAAACCAAGCATCTTCCTGAACCAACAGCAGGCAGTTGCATGGACTTTCTAGGAAAGACTTTTAAAAACACAGTTAATTAAAACAAATTCTGTTTTGCTTTGCATCTCTATATGTAGAGCTCCTAGTCCCAGCAAGTTCTGGGCACAAAAAGTTCTGGGCAAATCCCGGGCACAAAAAGTTTGCAAAAATGTACTTGAAGAAAGAAATCATGACTGTCTGAATACAATGAGGAATATCAGCACACAGGAATTGAAACACGATTTAAAGAAAGGTTTTAAAGAGGAAAGAACAGAGCCATTTGAAAACCCTGAGAATCTGTCAGTTTGAAAGTGCTGCAGCAATAAAGAAGTATGAAACAGAACTGGAGGAGCAAGAGGCTGGGAGGGACACATTACAAGAGGAATACTTTTTTCTCAGGACCCCAATGAACCCTGCAGCCATCAGGTACAGTAAGCAAATTGTGGGAGAGAGACTAAAGCAGACTGCTAACCACCACCTGATTTAAAATAGACACAGTCCACTGAAAAACTAATTATCACTTAGGGACAACCTGTGTTCTCCAGCAGCAGGAATGCAGCATATTCACATCATAATCAACATTCAGACAGGGCATTTAGTACTACATGGTGAAATGCTGGAATTGAACACACACTATCAATGACTGCTGGAGACTGAGCTCATGCTTAAAGAGCAGATAAAGTAATTAGCCAGTTAGGAAACAAGACAGAAGAAAAATAGCAAATGACTGCCAGTAGACAAGTGTATGACATACACCATACTTCACACAAATAAGAGAAGCTACAGTCTGCAAAAATCACTGAATTTTGTGTGCTGGATGACCTTACTCTACCTGCATAAACCAGAAGGTTATCCTGCTTTAGTAGTTGATTAAATTAGAGAACACGGTATCTTTCCAATGTTGGCTGAAGATGAGGTTTAGTGGCTTAGATATAAGACACATTTTAACAGCCTATATGAACCTACATGGTTCATATAGGTCTTTACCTGACCCCTGTGTAGGCACAGTGAAAACAGCTGCCAATGCAGTGTCCACAGAGCTCCATGTAGTGAAAATGTGCCTACATGACAGTGCCGAAACTCAGAGCAGATGGAAGTTGACCTGTCATTTTGTGGCACCATGTATAAATTATTTCTGTATAAATTAATTCTGTATTAATTACAGAACCATAGAATGGTTTGGGATGAAAGATACTTTAACAATGATCTGGTTCCAACCCCTCTGCCCATGGGCAGGAACACCTTCCACTAGACCAGGCTGCTCAAAATCTCATCCAACCTGGCCAAACTTCTCTGGGTAACCTGTTCCAATGCCTCACCACCCCCACAATGAAGAATTTCTGCCTAATATGTAATCTAAACCCTCTACTAGTTTGATGTCCTTACTCCTTCTCCTGTCACTACAGGATGTTGTGAAAGCTCCTCTCCAATTCCCTTTAGGTACTGGATGGCCAGTCTAAGGACTCCCTGGAGGACTCCCTTCTTAAGGCTGAACAGCCCCAACTCACAGCCTGTCGTCATAGAAGACGTGCTCCAACCCTCGTCTTCATCTTCAAATTCTCAACATTGTATTTCAGAAATGAAACAGAAAAATCCAGGAGCATCCCCCTGACCATCTTTAAACTAAATGTCTTAGATGCAAGGAGCACTTTTCAATGCAAAAAAAATCATGTAGAAGAGCTATGAAAAATACAGTGAAATATTCTGCATTTAAGCAGAGATAATCAATAAGAGGTAACTGAAAAGATACAAAATATTCAGAAAACACCTTTCAGTGCCATATTCCTACATACTTTTATATTTTTTTTGTGTTTCTTCTCTGACAAGATACACAAGTTTGCTTACTGAATTGTCTTTCAGCTGGAGACCTTCTCCATTGGGCAGCGATGACCTCCGCTTTGTTGAAGAGTTCTTGTTTGGTGTAGAATTACTGCCTCCAGCTTTTTTCTTGACAAAGAGGACTTCACAGCTTGCTTGATCTTCGTTGTGCGTGCTCTTCCCTGCATTTATTACCCTAAGAAAAAAGCAAAACAAAAAAAGAAAACAGTGACCAGATCAGCAAAACGTAGGAGCCCCCATCTGTGTTTCACAATGTGACTCAAGATGTATGGAAGCAGAGTCCAGCATGTTGCAATTACTGACTGAATTAAAATACCTGACTGCCTCCCAGAGATACAAACATACACACAGGCATATTTGCATATTTCTGTACACGTACACATGACATAACAAGCATTTCCTGCAGAACTATGTGAATAGGAACCAATGGTTCCATGAGCATATTTCACCCCTAGGCATACCATACTGTTTTTAAAAAGGGACTACTTTATGGATGAAGTTGATAACACATATGCCTCCCAGTTGAAACATGAGACCCCCATTTGCTTTTCTACCTGTCAGCATCTCTGCTATAAATAATGAATCTGCTGGCTAAGAGTGTGCATTCTGTCAAGTTCCAAGTCTTTGCACAAACAAAATGCTTGCTATGAATCTACAAAGCTGTTACTGCTAAAGGCAGTCTGTTAAATGGCATATACTAGAAATGCTATGACAGAAATACAAAGCAAAGGCTTTGTCTCTGACAGGCAAGGCAAGCTTGCTTGTACCACAGCCATAAAGTGATGCATATTAAATACATCCCTCTTGTACTGCACAACATAACCCCCTGCCCTCTCGAAGTCTACTTCAAGCCATCTGTCCTACCTGCCCTGCAGAAAACAGAAGATGTGCACTAAGAGCTGCAGGCATGCAAAACCCAGCACTAAGAGCTCAGTACAAGCTTTTAATAGCCAAAGGCATTCTGAGACTTGTACCACAGCTTCCTCCCTTTGATCAGTCATGAGGCTGAAATAACAGCTATGCTACCAAGTTTTTAAGATCTTAATCAGAAGCCTGTGATAACCAAAATACTGTGGTTACTATCATCAGTCTCAGAACAGTCAAGCTCAAACACATTTTCCACTTTTTACATGAGAATCTCATCACAAACTGACCAATTTTGCATCGGTTGACAGCCCTGAGTTCACACGGGGAAAATCTATGCAAGACGGAACAATGTCTTGGTCCAAGCAAGCAGAGACACTGTGACTTTACGCAAGCATGTCTTCTTCCACAAACACTATACACCCACTTCTCTTTACCGCGAGGTTTGGGTCAACAATTGACCGATACTCAGAGACAGTATTTCCACTACTGGATAAGCACTGAGTTTCATATCAGGCACACAAAGTCTTTAGAAACAACTGCTGCTTCCCCAGAAACTAAAACAGCTTGAAGGCACATCATGATCCTGATGGCAAGTTCAAGACATACCTGACATTTGAACTCTAATGTTTTCATTACAGTAAAACTTTACACAATAGGAGAATACTTGCTAAAGGCTGTTGAAATGAAAAGAAAACAAAAATCAAAGGAAGGCTTGCAGGGAATCCTAGCTTGCTTGCTCTTGCTGAAATACCAGGTCTGTTTCAGCTCTGCTTAAAGGTAATACATTCTTTTTCACTTCCAAGGAGCAATATGGTGCTGTGCCATGCAAATGAGTATTCCTCCCTCTGAATAGAAAAAACAGTCTTTTTTAAAAAGAAAATGTATGTCCACTGCAGTTAACTGCTTTCAGAAATGAGGAGTTTCTTACAGTGCTAAATGCTACACATTGCAGACTACCTGTATGCACAATACCACCATTTGTTTGCAAGTATGTCTTGAAAATAAATGCTAATTGTGGATAAAATTATTTTGCAAAACACAGAGGGAAGAGATGAAGCAGCAATTAGTTGCAAGGCACTTGTGAGCAGTTTAACCATTCATTCCCTATAGCACTTAACCTTTAGGCAATTGCAGATTAAACACTGAGATGCAGTAAGCTTCCAGTCTAAAAGCTCTCATTTTCCTGACATTAGGAAAAGTAGAAGCATGTATTCAAAAATGGGGGGAAAGTGTCAGGGCAGGGCGGGGAAGGGCAGAAGACACAGCACACATGACGAAGTCATAAATGCCAAAGCATTTAAATCAGCTGACCAAGACCTGTTCAGTTTGAAATGCTACAAACATGATTAAAATATTGCAGCAGCAGAGAAAGTGTCTTACAAAAGTCATTGAACTCCTGGAGCTGCCCTGGTTTCTGAGCTTAGTGATGGACTTCAGGACTTGTATGGTGGAAGATGTTCTGATGTTTAATGACATGTCAGGTTATTCACAATATTATCATTTTATAAAGCCCTCATGAAGAAAGTTTGTCAATACACTGAACACATTAGAAAGACTATGAGAACAAAGTGACCCAACAGACTGGCTTGACAATCAGCTATAACAAAACACCTGGAGTTGAAACTGTGTTCCAAGTACCTTGCCAGAAGAGGATATGATCAAAAGGAACCTGGCAAGACTGAATACTGAGTAGACATGGGAGTTGGGGTGTCAGTGTATTGAGGAGGGAGGAATGGTGCTCTCCAAGAAATCAACTGTATCTCTAAGAATTTCAGTTTTCCTTTCTTCATCAGAGGATTAAGTATATTTTGTTCCTTGTGAAGGCCTGAAATTATCATAATGTCAAAATGGTGCTTATGGATCCTACCAGGTAATACAGGGTCTAGACAGCAAAAGCTGTTTTTTTCCTGACACAGGCAATCTTCTACTCTCATATCCGATCTCCCAGGCAAGTACTGGAAAACTGCTGTAGTGAAGCCCCATGATTTTTAATTTCAAATTTTCTACTATGTGTTGGTGCCTGATGCCAAGCACAGAAGCTGGTAACATCTAGTCAGCTTCAAACAGCTCTGTCTTTGCTGACTTTTGAAATTCTTTTCTTTCTGCAGTTTTCTAAATCCCTTCTCCAGGCAATTCTTTCAACCAGCTTTCCAATGCTGATTTCACTGCTGTTTTTCCTCCTTGCTCTCCCAGACTGCAACTTACCGGAACAAAATTCACATCTAAGCTGCTTATACAAATAACAAAGAAGTACTAACAAAATATTCATATCACCAAAAGGCAACTCTAACTTAGACCTCTGGAATTTTTTATGGAATAATCTGCCCCTCCTCCACTGATGAAGTACCTCAGCTTCCAAAGATTGCCCCCGTGTATTTTCTATCTAACTTATATTATAAGTTGTCCACTAATAAAGTGAACAAAATGCTATAAAACAGCACCAATTATTTCAATTTCATTTTATAGTTAATATGTATAATAATGCACAGAAAAAAAAACAGTTTAAACTTAGAAGACTGAGGCCTACATAATTCTCTAGCTTACTTAGACACATGAATTCCTCCTTTTGTTCTCTCCTCCAAATTTCTCAAGACACTGATTAGACCTATTGATGATCAACTCCTTGCCATCCTTTTTCTCCTCTCCCCAATACCCATATATCTCCTATCCAATCTTTTATAATGTTCAATTCAAATAATATATCTAGATCAGATGTCCCTCTTCTTACAGAATTCGCTGTCTGTACTGTGTCAAACACATTTAAAAAATCCTAAAGTTTAGTTCGAGGTATAGAGTAGTAAAAACCTACCCTGCTTTCCAAACAGGAGCTTCCTGAAGCCTGCACAGTCAGCTGGTGAGCTTTGGTCATAGCTGAAGTACCTGCATCAACCTTGATGGATATTTCAGTATTTCATGAGTCTTAATCTTACACATGTCCTCAACTAAAAGCAAATCCACCAGATAGGAACCACCAGCTAGTTTGTTTACCTCACAATTAGGATTATCTTGGTATCTCCTGAGACCTCAAAGCCCATTTACCTAGATAGAAATGCAGGTCATGCTGTTCTTCTATTCTTCTCTCAACAAGCAGAGCTCAAAGTTCTGTGCCAGGACCACTGACTGCAAAATCCTAAGTTTATCTTAAGAGAACCAAAACAGGCCTGGTAAACAAATCCAATACAGGCTTTGATAGTTTCAAAAAACACCCCAAAACCATCCGAACCAATCCACAAACAAACACAAACCAAAAATAAAAACTTCAGTCTTTTGAAGCATTTCTACTCATTCCTCTTTTTTTTTTTTTTTTTTTGCATCAATACCAGCATATTCTCTTTGAGTGTTTTATTCGTTCCTATACCATACTCTTTGATATTACATTAAGTTGTAGTCACCCAAAATTCCAAGCTGTGCTGCAGCAGGAAAATTTTACCCACCAAAAAAATCCCCAATGCAGCTGCATTACCCACTTGGAGAAAAATATAGCCCACAATAGAAGCTTCAAACAGTTTATGAGCTGCAGTGAAAGAACTCTGCTTGTAAGAAGCCCTAAAAGATGTTTTTTACTTGGGGAACCCGTGCTCATTTGCTCCACAAATTTTAATCCAATACAAATGCAAAAGCTCCTCAGGGCTAGCAAGAAAAGAAGAGCTAGAAATAAAAAGATATATCCATAGGCAGCTTGTGGTACACTGCAATTTTCACTTCTACCTTCCTTTGGGGTTTCAGATTAGGAGTGGACACCTGTATTTGTTTTGACTCTGAATGAATCCATTCATCAGGAAGCACAAAGCCCTTCTCCCCTCAGAGGAGCTACAGCCAGCTTCTCTTACCAGCTGTGGCACTCACACACCACTTGACAGCTGCGTGACACCAGCTTGCATCCAACCCAACTAGTAACACAGAAGTAACCCTCATGAATGAATACTATAAGTACAGACAACAAACAATACATTCCTAGTTTTGTGTTATAATTTCAACAGTCTTAGAATGACGATTAAAGATAACATAAACAAAACAACTTTCACAGAAGTGTGGCTGGCTTTACTTCAACCTCCCACCTTTTTATTTTTTTTCCCCCTTAATGGATAAGCATGTGAGTAGATGCCATTGCTTTTTTTTGTGACATCTCACTTACAGTCTTAGATTTCCAGGTAGGTGTCTGTTTCCTCCCTTTCACCCACATGTGATTTATTTCTGCACTGGCAATCAACTTGAAAGAGATTTTCTTCTAGCTGTTCACCTCCTCCCTCAGATGAAAGGCAGCTTTTCAAGCAGCCTAAACAGTTCCATTCATTCATTACTGTAACATTGTGCATGTCAAAACCAAAGCACTTACT